TTATTATTATTATTATTATTATTATTATTATTATTATTATTATTATTATTATTATTATTATTATTATTAGCTGTATTTTAGATATTAGGATAGTAGAAAACATTTACAGCTCAGTCAGGAAAAAACTGTTTTTCTCCTCAGTTTTGAGGCACACAGTCTCTAAAAGTGAAACCACTTTCTTTTAATCCATCTGAATTAGACTTTTTTTTTTGTTTTCAATCTAAATCTAAATGAAACATCTCCCCGAAGATGGTGTTCTCTCATCTAAGGAACATTAAATAGTGACACGGTTTTCTCCCGGGCAGAGGTATCGATTCATGCCTCCATCAGACCCCAGCAGGCTTCTTTTGTCTGAGTCCGGTGATGGAAACAAGATAGAGAACTCCTTTTTTGTTTTAAAATGCCCACGTTTGCTTTCTGTGGGTTTCCCAATTCATTACAAATGGTTGGATATGTTTTTAATTAATTATGTCCTGATTATTTATCTGACTTGACTCTGATATTTGTTCCTAAAATGTTCTCTAAAGCATTTGGAGAAGCATGTTTTGGTTTTAATGGTCCTTATTAGTGGAACCACTTCCATGAGTCTTTCTATGTTTTTTAGGAAAGATTTCAAATTAATATATTTAAATCGTAATCAATTTGATACTTTTAGTTATTTTCTTCTTAGGCTCTTATGTTAAATCTACTTTTATTACAACTGGTTGTGTTTTACCAATATTTTTAAATAACTAATTGTAAACACATTCAGATTCTTTCATTTAATTCTTTATTAATTTCATTAATGAAGTTTATTAAGACAATGTCTTTTATACCATTTTATTGAATACATTATCCATTTTTACTCTTCATAAAGTACTGTATGTCAAACTTTAGTTATAGTTTAACTTTTTTTTATCTTTGCTGACCATTTTGCTCTCCTAATCTTATTGGCTTTATAGATAAGTTAAAAAATGTTTTATAAATAAAAAATAACAGATTAATTATGCATCCTGTGCATAGATTCTGTCATGCTAGTGTCTTTCAGAAGCATAAATAGAAGCATAAATAATATTTTTATGCCGCAAAAGCCAGTAAAACTGTCATTTGATGGCTAACGATAGATATTATGGTCAGTTTAAGTCTTAATCAATGTATTTGAAAGAATTATATGTAAATTATAAAGCACCAATAAGACACAGAGATAGTTTTAAGGTTCCAGTTGCAGAATCTTCTGACAGTCAAACCCACAAAAGCAACTCAAACCAAAAAGATGACGAAGAGGAGGAATTTAACACCTGCTTCCTCCTCCCAGAGCCAGCCTGCTTCCCTTTTGAGCGCATAATCATGAGGTCAAGTCACCAATTTTCCAAACGTACACTTTTGGTTGCTCATTCAGGGTTTGGAGGAGAGAAAAAAAAGAGAAAACCAGAGAGAGCGTCCTCTTCCTCTTCCTCTTCCTCTTCGTCGGATGGCTGAATCGCAGG